CAGGGACGTTTTTAGCTTTTATATTACACTGCAGATGGTACAATGGCTTTTAGTGCAGTACAATATATTATATATGAGGTGAATTATGGTTTGATTTTCGAACCAAGCTTATGGTAGCTACGTCATCTATCCCTATTCAACCCCGTCCAAGGTTTTTCTTGAGGTTTTCGCGGCACTGGAAAATAGAAAAATCCGCGGAAAGAAAAAAGTACGTCTTGATCTCGAGAGTTAGAAGTTATCTCGAAAGTCTCGAGAGCTACGTAAAGACTGGTCACTCATTGATTGGTTTCCTGTTCTGCGACTCTTTTGGCTGCAGGTGAAGGGGCGTGTTAGGAGAGATGAGCTTGGCGTGGCGCCAAACCCGTATTCCACCACTTGTTGAAGTGAGCAAGCGACAAGATTGTATCGTGTCGTTTGAATCAGTCACCAACTAAATATTGCCGCTTAAGCGCTTCAAAAGAACCTATTTTGCGCCGCGTCAAACTCGTGCCACCGGACACGCCCCCTCATTCGCAGCGAATAAGACTACGTATTCATCCATTCGAAAACTCTCCTTTTCTCCCACTTTCGTTATTATGCATTTCTCCAGTTTGGCAATGAACGCGGTTGAGGTACCTGTTCTTTGGAGCACTAATAGTGAGATCTTAGGTTCTTTGTTTGCTTCATCTTTAGGTTTTTGGCTTTCCTTATGTTCCTTGGAGCTTTGCCGTTTATGATGTTTTTTTTAAATCTCTGCGCATCTTTATAAACTGGCTGCACTTTCAGATTTATTTTTGTTTGTTTTTGTTATTTATTTATTGGAAACCAAAAATACGGGTCTGCACTTAGCCCTGTCTCAAAATGTCGTCCATGTCAATGATAGGTATGAGACTTTTTTCTATGAGTTTTTCTTATAACTAATCTTTTTTATGTTTAGGAGGTGCAATATTGGTTGTGCTGATAGCCGGTTATATTGCACGTCAGTATGGGTTACCACCTCCACCGCCAAAAATCGCCGGCATTGATTTAGGCACCACATTTTCGTCGATAGGTTGGGCATCTTATAGTTTTCTTTTTGTTGCATCGTTTTCCGTTTGATTTACATTTTTTTTGAACTACCACACTTGTCCACGATTGAGTCTGCAGTCATTTATTGTAGCAGGGATACATAGGTCGTAAGATTTTTTGGGTAGAATCTGCCTTTTATATAATGCAACGTTTACGTAGTGATCGATAAGCAAAGATGCTAGTTCTGAACCGGCCGTCTTCTGATTTTCCTTTTTGTATCAAGGCCCTATCGCTGAAAATTTTTTTGCGAGTCACAGCTACTACTCACCATTTCCCTTCCTGCGGGATAAACACGACCGGCACTCCTCTCAAAACAATAAGCAAATATGACTCCCATCAATGAATTTTCCAAACACGACCCCTACCTCCCTCCAGCAAGCAGCCACAACCCCTGGTGGGAATTACGCAGTGCACCAAGTGCCCTGATCTGAATTGGGAATCTTGGACAGTGGGTAGCAAACCTCTCAATGCTCTTACGGAAATGAGGTCTGAACTAGGTTTTTCATGAACTCCGCTGAACGTCGCGAGAAAAACTTCTCGATAGCTATTGCATAAAGTCACGATGTTTTCATTGCCTTGGGATGTATGAGGGGTCGAGTGGTGCGTAAAATTGGGAGTTTCTAGGAATTCTACTTTAGTGGATTTTACATTCATATTAGGTTGTTGCATAAGTTCGTTCCCCAGCAGCCTGAAGATTAGAGGTATGCACCATCACCATCCACTACTCGACGCTAACGCTCAGGCAGCTAGTCGGTTCCATCGTCCCAGAAGGGCTTCCTGCATTGCGGCCTTCTTCGGGGCTGGGACCCGAAGAAGGCCTGCAAATGCCGCACAATCACCCCTGTGACATGGTTTTGCACTGGTAATTGTGCGTCATTGTGCCGGCCAAATTGAAGCGAGAGCGCTAGTGGTGGTAAGAGTATGATGTTACACGTCATGCAATGCACATGTGATGACGAAATACCATCCTGCATGCAAACGAAATACGGAAGGATCAAAACAGGGGGGGAAAACCTATGCAATAACCTAATAGCAGAGGTGATCATTTTTCAAGGACAATTGAGAGAACGAATCGAGTGTCCCTTAGCACGCCAACGACTACTCTCATTTGGTGATCTAGAATTGCGACTGTGAAAGAAATCATGCGAAGCTGCGGCATTATGGCTCGAGTCACCTTATGACTGCCTTTATTTGAATCCATTTAACACGTTTACAAGGGAGTAATTCTTATTAATTTAAATCTCTCAAAAAGAGGTCATGAATTGTTTGACGTGCAGGTTAGGATGAAGTTTAGCCTAGCTGTGCGAACGACTGATAGTAGGAGAATCCTTTTTTGGTAGGTACGGCATCATTGACTGAGAAACGAGAAATTGATGAACTTGCATATAATCATATGGATCAGCCCAGTACGTTACCTAGAATAATTCTCCATGTCTTCACGTTTTCACTCAAAATTGTTGCAATTTTTTTACATTACAGAATGAATGAAGGCGTTTCTCATTCTTTTCTTGGCACGGTTTCTAATATATATAAAAGTTGCCGCTGCCGAGACAAAAAAGGAACATTCCTTCGTTTGACGTTTGTGAAATGAATGCGGGAGGCATCAAGCCGCTGTTCTGAATATTAAGCATCATATTTTGAGCGGGACAATGTGATGATTTTAATGCAATCGGATTTGTAAATGTTTTTGGTTCAATGTACATTCAATTGCCGTTTTGCGACACCTATATGTCCGGTTTTGCGAGGGAGAGGAGAAAAAGAGTGGCGAACTTTCCGCTAAATCCAGGCTATAACAATCAGTTGCTGATCACTTGAAAAAGTAGGTCTTCGAAATATGGTTTTTCATTCTACTGAAGTTAATATCCAGGTATTTATCATGCTGTCACTGGAGTAACTACTATTTTACCCGATGAGATAGGAAAGCTATCCGTTCCGAGCGTTGTGGCATTTTTGTGAGTTTTTCTCCATTCGCTATGTATCTCTCTTATCGTTTCTTTTATTTATTCGTTTTTCTATTTTCTGTTTCTTTATTCCTGTATTTTGCATACCGTTGATTCGGTGTGCTGACGCCGTTTTTACGAGGTGGCCCTTTCCTCATACAAGAAGTATGTATCTCATTTGAGGTTTCAAGATACGCGATAACGACGCCACTCAAATGCGTCGAAGCCTCGCCCACTGCCCCTCATCCACGGCACGCCATCGCGTAGTGATCATTTTCTGAAAAATACAACCCCCGCTCCACATGCTACCTATCCCGTTCCTAGGTATTCCGCCTTTCCTACCATTTTTCCCAAAAGATTTACTTTTTCAGCCAAGAATTCTCCGTAGAGCGAGGGGGTATACACTCTCAATGTAAAACAGGAAAACTTCTCAGATTTACCCTAACCTGCTACCATTTTTTCGAATTTCCCGAAAAATCCCTGGTTTTTCCCCGAAATTTTGCTGTCGAGCGGGGGGGGGGTCGTCAGGATTTAACTATCATTTTCAACTATCGGAAATAGTAGTTGTATAGATCTTTGGCAGTCCCTCTCCCAAAACGACCAAATACGACCCCTCCCCCCTTTATAGCGTCCGTGAAACAAGAGAAATCAACTATCAAAAAAATTTTTCTCAGACCAAATACGACCCCCTCCCTCGCGGTCAAATACGACCCCCCTTGTGATCGTGATAACGATGGCGTGCCTTGCCATCATCAACCAATATCCATTTGTGAAGGATTTCTGATAGTGCAGTTTTCCCACTACTTCCATCCTTACTCGCTTAAGAACGCCCTCTCTTGGTAGTATGCTCGTATCGGTAATGGATTCCATCTTGAGAATTTCGGAAGGTTTTTTGAGTTACTTACCACATTGTCATTTGTGCCCCATAACTCGCTAATTTTGAGCGCGGGACGCCCCTTCAAAATTAATGTATTTATGTGGCGAGCGCTAAGTTTGAGTTATATATGTTCAGGCCGAATGGTACAGTAATTGTTGGAACGCGTGCAGTAGAGCAACAAGAGAAAAATCCCCAAAGAACTATATATGATGCTAAGCGTTTCATCGGACGCACGTTCGAAAGGGACAATGAGAATTTTCTGGTAAGCATGCGTTGTTTTCTTGCTCTTGAAGATCATTTCGAACGCGCCTTATAGCTTCCTCATTTACCCTTTATACAGGCCGACCAAAAGCGTTACCCTTTCACTGTAAAGCTGGATGATACCGGACATGCGTTCTTTGAAGTGCCACTTGATAAGGGAGTGAAGTGAGTTGTTAGTCGTATTCGATTTCTTCTTTATTTTATTTCTGGCCAGTAATGCTTTGATAAAATTCAAAAGTGTTTGCTTGGATAAAATTCAAAAGTGGAGGGCCGCACAATATTTTCCGCGTTTGAAGGATTTTGAAATAGTTTCGCTCGCTGTGTGTCCCGCTGGGTGACGCGTAAGTGAGGAGTGAGAGCTCGTTTTGGCTTCTTGAGTAATGTAATGGGGCAGAGATAATTTTAGTATTCTGGGAGTGAAGGAGCAAATGTTTTCATTTTTCTCAGGGAAGGTTTGATTTCCCTACGTCGCTTTACTCTGGAAGTTCAGTCGTAAACGTTGTCCATATCGGGTTTTGTGTAATTCAAAATCAGGTCGCAATCACTGTTACGTTCTTGCATCCTACCCTCTAGACACTACTTCCTCGAGAGAAGAGCAAATGACTTTTTATGAATATGGGAAGCCGACATAGGTGAAAATTAGTGTTTAACTCTCAAAGATGAGCACGATACCAATTAAACCATCCCGAGGGGTACTGTACTCAGGCTCGAGGTTGAGGACTCGCCGATCTTCATGCTATCCCTGATTCCTTGAACTCTCAGAACCGAACTGCACCCAAGTGCCCGAACTAAGCTTTCTTGCTTCACCTTAGGGAACGGCTTGCTCTCCAATAGAGATGTTTTCTCTATTGGAGAGCAAGCCGTTCTGTTGATGCGTTTGTGTTTGTTGTTAGATTTTGCTGAATGCATTTCCTTTCCAGAATTCTTTATCCACAGGATGTTGGATCCATTATTATTTCATATTTGAAGAAATCTGCTGAAAAACAACTAAAGACGCCGCTGAAACAGGTTCGCTGCAAACTTAATAGGCTTTTATTTTCTTCGTACGGTTCCGTCACCTATTCTCTTTCAAGGTTGTCATATCTGTGCCAGCCGAATTCGGTGAAACCCAGCGGAACGTCACAGGAAAAGCGGCGGAGTTAGCAGGTAAATTGGGAATATTTATTTGGAGATGTTTTTTAAAGCCTTCAATTAGCTTTGGCTTCAGTTCTGCTCAGTGTTTTGTATAGCTTGTATAGCAGGTTTTCGTACTGGTGTAGTTTAGGTTGCTGGGCCCCGCTTCTTTCCACTCTTATAAGGATTCATTATTTTATTTTGTTTTTTCACTAGATTGAGGTCCACCATTTTTCTGTTGAAATAGACTGAAGAAGTTTGAGCACGGCTCTCAACAACAGGATATAGTCTGCCTCGAGAAATCTCTTGGGGTACTACCCTTATTTTACTTCCATGCAGGGTAGAGGCTTATTGAATGCGAATGGCCTATACAATGATCTGCGGGAGCCACTCGCCACTTGTACAAGTCAGTCTAATGTCCTCCCAGTCTGGTACCATAACGTTCCCTGAAGGTAGAAGGCTTGCTTGGTTTGGGATGGAGCCAACCAAGATTTAATCCTCGAAGAGCGCGTAATAAGTGTGCCACAGTGTGCCACCATACCACCGATTGAAAGAGCTCATCGTTGAGTGGCTTGACCCTTAAAGGCAGTTGGCACGATAAATCCCTAAAACGAGTAGGCTTAATACGCCTGGCAGAACGGAATTCCGCGAATTTGAGCAGACTGCGTAGCAGGGAGGTACCCTTATAAGGGCCGTGTGAAGCTACAACATACCGAAACACCCACCACACCCACCGACCTACAATTGGACGACCATACCTGATGCTCGTATTGCTTCATTTGCGAAGTAAAATATGAAGCGAAAGGGCTGGTATGAAGCGGCTGCGGTGCTGCATGGATATATGAGTACATACGTGCAGCCGTACCTACCGTAGCGGTTATTGGCAAGATGCCTACGGGAAACTCGTCCGAAATCGCTTTTGAGTCATTGAGAACGAAGGCTTTTTTTGCAAGTTTTTGACCGTTTCACTTCGTTTTTTCGCCATTTTCCCACTATATAGCGCCCTGCTAGCATTTTAGGCCGAGTACCAAACTATCGTGCCAACTGCCTTTAAAAGCCTCAAGTTCTAGTTTTGCCGTTCCTAGCACATTTTCTCCACGCATCTTTTTTTATTGTTTGTCTTTTGTCAGAGCTGCCATTTTCTCATCTTCTTTCTGCTTCTCCGTGAATCACCAGGCTGAAGTTCAGAGTGTTTTCAAACTTGGAGCTATTGCAGGTATGGAGGTGCGTCGTGTCATTTCTGAACCCACCGCTGCGTCTCTTGCTTACGGCCTTCACAAGAAGAAAGGTGTTGAGAGCGTTGTTGTCATAGACCTTGGTGAGTCGCTGAATTCATTTTTGAAATCATGCTGAAATCAGTTAGCGTTATATTAAAGGAGGAGGAACGTTGGATGTGTCTGTCCTGTGGCTCCAAGGAGGTGTTTTCGTCACGCAATCCATGGCTGGAAACAATCGCTTGGGTGGTCAAGATTTCAACGATCGCGTTCAGAAACACATTTTGTCGGTGAGTTCAGTTTATTTTAGTCGCTTGCATTACCCTTTTTTCACATTTTACAGTGCCCTATTACTCCACCTCACTTTCACTTCTTCACTTTTGTTTCATCTTTTTTTTTCTACCCTCTAATCTCCTATGCCAATCAATACCTTTTCTGGATGATAGGTAGTGGGTGCTTGAGTGCTTGTTAAGTCTCACGCTGGAACACATGGGATTTGCGTCCAAATGCATTAGGGCTCATTATTTTCAATCGGGGCTTATCCCATCGCTAGAGAAAAATTTTTGTTAACTAAGACCCTCTAATAGGACTCCTCAAAACTGACCCGGCCCTATTCCCCATGCTTCCTGCCATCATCATGTGTTTGCGCAGTCTCCTACTACTTTTTCCGGAATTTTCCTATAAGTATTCCAGTTTTTCCCTAAGAACACCGACGTGTGGAGAGACGGGAAAGTTCTCCATCAAGCAACTATTGGATTCATATATCGAAAAAAGTAGTTGTTTAGGACTTTGACTACGCCGCCAACCAGGGGAAGGAGTGAGCGGAAAAATCTTTTCTAGGAAAAGATACGGCCCCTTCCAAAGCCACAAGCGAGTACGACCCTCCTCAGTGGGAGTCTCTCAACGATGTGGGTTGCGCGCGAAAAAGGAAAACTCAACTGTCAAACAAATTTTTGAGTCCAAATACGACCCCTTCCCTCCAGCGACCGAATGTGACTCCCACTGGTACTCCTTGGTATACGACGTGCCCTATTTCCAGTACGTCACACCATTCTAAAAGAAAACTGTGGAGTCTGTTGTGAACCACATAGTGGCCACTCGGTTGCCTACTCTTCGCCTATTTTGTCTGGAGTCTGGCCTATTGTTGTAGTTTTGAAAAAATTCAGGTTCTGGAAAAGAAGTTCGGCAAGACGATCAGCGATAAGGAGGACTTGCAGCAGATTCGCCTTGAAATCGAGAAAGCAAAGCTCAGGCTTACTACTCATCCAACAGCTAAAATGAACTTCAATTTGAAGGAGATAGGGAATTGGCACTACCTGGTACTTACAATCGTTAAGTTCGAATGATTGGGAACTAATGCAGAGCGATTTCGGTTGAACCGCTAACCATATGATTTCCAGCTGCATCGTGAAGAGTTTGAGCGGTTGAATGAGGATCTGTTCAAATCAATCGAGCAACCCATTGAAGCAGCTTTGGCAGATGCAAATCTTCAACCTTCAGAGGTAGATGAAATCGTCTTAGTAGGTGGATCAACACGGATACCAAAAGTACGGCAAATTGTCGGGCACTATTTCAAGTAGGTTTCTTGTTCGTTTTTTCACTTGAGGATGAGCTTCTCCTCTGAATACCTCTTTAAGTAGTTCACTTGTTTCCAGTTTGTAATTGTTGTAGTTTTCAGTTCACAGTCAACTTAAAATAGTTTAGTCATTCCATAACAACGTCATTTGTCATCATTTTCCCTTTCCATGAGAGTCATTTCAGCAAGGTTTCGAATTTTGGTGTCGATCCAGAGTTGGCAGTTGCTACCGGAGCTTCAGTGGCAGAGCTTGCTTTATCGCGGGGAGATGCGCCTTTTACAGGTTTTGTATAAAAATTTCGGGTCATGATCAAATTATTGATAAACGCGAAGGACGCTTCGCTTTTGGAAGCAGTTCTGAATCTTTAAGCATAGCCGTTTGAAGATTTCTCCACTTATCCCCCACGTCCCTGTCACATTTCTTAGTTCTTTTTAAACTTCCTCATATGTGTATAATCTTTTAATTGATTTGGAGGAGGGGAGCGGATTATTGATTGGGTTTCACTATCTACTGTTCACGAAAGTGGAAATGCCAACGAGAAAGCAGAAAACCATAACAACTGAAATGTGCCCTTACTTATTATGTCAAGTGCTTTGTCACTCAATGCTACCCAAGCTCCTTCGTGGATGTGGCACTTCCAAGAGCTGGTAGATGGCGTCAGCTCCTTTATGAGGTATGTCGTGTGGGTAGAAAAGTGAATCCGAGTCTGCTAAACAATATACAACTTCCGGAGCTTCGAGTAAAAAAATTGACCAGAAGATTCCGACAGGATCATCTTAAGCTTCCTACTCTGCAGTTCGGCCTTCTGCGCGAACTTCCTTTTGAGCATCGCGTTTTAGGCTGATAGGCGTTTTGAGCGTAAGAAGACAGTTTGACAACACGTCGGTCTGGGTTTCGGAGAATCAATGGTCCAACGTACCAGTATAGTACGTATCGATGCCGCGTCATTAGATTTTCGGGAAGAATCCGTATCGTAGCGGTTATGTAGTGTTCAGTCGCGTTTTAGAGGCCGCGGGTGAAGTATAGTACACCGGAAATCCCATCAGGTGCCGGTCGCATAGCATTTCAGAGAGCGTCGTCACAGGGGATTAGCGTTCTGGGAAAAACCGGAATTTGAACGTAAGGGAGGCCATAGTAATGGAATTGCCTCTGCTTTTTTCGAGTGCGAATCAGCGTTCTCGTGCGTAAAGGATAAGATACGTTAAGATGCGTTTCACGGTCACCTGGTGTATCCGGAAAAAAAGTGGACCGTACGTTTTTGAGTGAAGGCACGCTTCTAGAAACAGTTCGTGTCGACCCTAAAGGTTAGTTATGAGTATGGATCGCTGTCGGTTCGCTGGCGGGTTACGTGACAACTAAAACCTTGTTGGAGGGTGCCTGCTCGACAAGACCGCGTTCAGAGAAAGAATAGGTCTGTGAACCTAAGGCATCGAGAGGAACAAAAAATATGGCGGCGACCTGAGGACGATGGGTTTTTTTTAGAGTGCGAGTTCACTGCGGCTGGATGTCCACTTATTATGCGTGAAAAGCTGGAATGTGAGAGGTCAGAGTTACCACAAAACGCCATGGAGACGTGAGAGAGCTGAGAAAAACAGAAGTTCGGCGACTTCGAAGGATTGACTTTTAGTTGTCCGTAGACCTCGCTAGCGTGCCGAGGAAATCGGCTTTCTGAGTGCCGATCGATACCTGTACTACTCTTTCGCTCGGAAACTTCAATCATCCAAAAAACGCTGATTCGAGCTGAAGCTGCCGCTCTTACAGCAAGCTCGATGATTATTCATCATTCGAACCTGTATCAAGCTTCCTCTCATCTCGTGGTTTGAGTTGGGGGGGCCAGTACCGTGACGTGCTGTAGTTCTCATTTGATTCTATACTTTCTTCCTCGAACTAGATTACGTTCCACATTTATGAATGTATTTGAAGACAAGTGTTTATTAATAGTATTCCTGTGTACTGCATACGAGTATCATCTCTAATCGATCAGGTTGCGCTGCTAATGGAAACTTCCAACAAAACGGCGGGCAACGGCAATTTCTATACTTGAGGACGAGCGACAGGGTGAACGAGAAGGAAGATGAACGTCCTAGACGTCGCCTAATCCGCATGGAAGATGGTGCCAAAATGTGACCCTCTCATGAAAAACGCGTAGATCGTTGACCATCACATCCTTTGCAGTATCACGTCATTTTGGCGTTATTGACTGCTTTCCCTCAAATTAGACTTTAACTAATAATCTAACTACTGCATTACTGTTGTTGATTGTCTTGTATATTTCGGTGGAACTGTCTTGTTGGTTTTAAGGCGCTAACGGTAGTTGAAAGGGAAGGGATCAGTTGTGTGCGCTCCGTCTTTGTCTTTTTTCCCGTATCCAAGGCGTAGACATAGAGCGCAGACGACCAGAGTCGTCGAAAGACGGATGCCAGTGTGGAAACGCTTTGCAGAGTACGATCTACACTCTTTCCCTCCGAATTTCCTCCTCTGGTGCGACCCCCTTTCCCATTCTTCACACGATTCCTTTTAGCTTTTTCTCAAAATGTGTCGTCGAGCGGGGGAGGAGGTAATTGAAAGGCGGAAACAGAGAAAAGGTTAGCAACCGAAAACTTCTTTTCTCAAAGGACAATTACGACTGCGTCCCTTTAGCGATAGAATACGATCCCCCCCCCCCTCGCTGAGGATCGATCCCCAGTGCATCCGATCTGCTCCACCCAGTTACGTTAGCGCCTTGTTTGTGGTTTGTTTCTGGAAATGGGTCTCCATCATCATCATCAAATCCTTTGTATTACGAATAGCCTCTCTATTTCTGCTTTTACAGTTCATTTCACCTTGCCTTAGAGGAGTCGTCCACCGAGCGCCAAGGTTCAAATTGCAATACCATATTTTAAGGGCACGTCCGTATTTGTCCACAATATCCGTTCTTTGTATATCTGGGGATTTTTCCGGTCATTCGTGCGACTATTACTTCCTGTCAGGATTCAGCATACATACAATAGATAATGAGTGTTCAGCGTCAAGGTGCCTCGCACTGTAATTTTGTCAAGTATACACCCATTTGCAAAATTTACCCTGCGAACGTTAAAAGTACTTTATCTTACTCATAGGCATGATTCTGCAACGAGAGGGTGTGGAGCGGCGTGTACTGAGGCGGAGTCAAAACAGCTTTTACTTACAGTGGTTAGGGGCTGATGACATCGCTGTTGGAAAAGATCGCCCTGATAGCTGCAAGCCACGCCCCATCACATAAAGTATCGTTTGCAGGGATCATTGCTGTAGTTATCCTTATTATTTGCACCACTCGAACTGAACAAATGGAGCGGACCTGTCGTGAGCTTTGTTTACAGTTCGGGTCTTAATTGAGTGCCCTAACATAGAAATTGACCACGGGAATGTCCCTGATTCGAAGGAAAGACCAGATGGACTACTGCGAGCGTACGCCCGTTTGAGAAGATACTGTATTTCCAGTCTGGTGCGCGCGGGAGCGGACGCTTTCCCAGCTCAGTCTTATCATATGTGCTCTAAAATGCGCATTATGGTTGCGGATAAGAGATTAAGATTTGTAAGAAAATCCTGAGGAAGGGCGTGTTCACACCTCGCGTGCGCGTGTCTGTATCGCGCGATCGGATCGCTCGAGTGCTTGGACCGCGCGACCACGACAGGGACGCTCCATCGCCAATCGGTGCTCCGGCGCAGCGGCAGAACTCAAGTTGAACCACGTTTACGCTTTGTTTGAACGCGGCCCCATTTGAATTCTGCCGTTGCGGTGGTGCACCAATCAGCGGTAGGGCGCCCCCTCCACCGCCGTGGTTCGTTCGCACGATGCAAACGATCTGATCGCGAGGTATGAACTCGCCCTAAGTTTTTAGCGCAGTGAAAGCAGTGTAGTGAGTGGGTCGCGCGTGGAATAGGCACCAGAGCGCTCACCGCGATGTGGACCTCATGTCTAACACCGTGAGGTTGCTTAGGTGTGTTATCGTTCCTTGAGTGACATGCTATGAGCGGGTGGTAGGAAC